CACACACACACACATACACACAGTGCACAGTTTTATTATTATGCTGCTGTGTTCATTGTATTTTTGTAACTCTGGCACAACAATTTCCTTCGGGATAAATAAAGTATTATATTATCTTATCTAATGGTCTGTGTGTGTGTGTGTGTGTGTGTGTGTGTGTGTGTGTGTGTGTGTGTGTGTGTGTGTGTGTGTGTGTGTGTGTGTGTGTGTGTGTGTGTGTGTGTGTGTGTGTGTGTGTGTGTGTGTGTGTGTGTGTGTGTGTGTGTGTGTGTGTGTGTGTGTGTGTGTGTGTGTGTGTGTGTGTGTGTGTGTGTGTGTGTGTGTGTGTGTGTGTGTGTGTGTGTGTGTGTGTGTGTGTGTGTGTGTGTGTGTGTGTGTGTGTGTGTGTGTGTGTGTGTGTGTGTGTGTGTGTGTGCGTGTGTGCGTGTGTGCAGGTGAAGGAGATGATGGCTGAGACGATGCGCCAGGTGGTGGAGAAGGTGACGGGGAACCAGCTGAAGGCGGAGGAGGTCTTGAACTCCAGATCTGATCTGACTCAGACCCGCTGCTACATGAATGCGCTCACACACTACAAACACAACTGCTTCAACTGGCACAAGACGGAGGTACGGCTGCACAGAGAGGCGTCTCTGCACCAACAATAATAATAATACAAATAATAACAAAGCTTTATTTATATAACACTTTCCATACAACACATGCAGCTCAAAGTGCTTTACAAAATGACACATCACAAGTTAAAAATAAACAACCAGAAGTTCCCCTCAGATTGTTTGTTAAGAACTTTAAAGGTACATGCAGCAACATATAACATTTGAGCAGGTTAAGAGACACAAGGAGGTCAAATGTATGATAATACAAATAAATAATAGTTTCTCTCTGACAGACAAGACATGAGACAACTGAGTCGATGCAACAATATAAAATATAAAATAACAATGACTAATTATTTAACAAAAACTGACTCAAAATGTTCTTTAACAAGGTTTTTAACAGAGTTAGGAGACGGCACAGATGTAAAAGACGAGAGTAAAATGTAGTTTAGAAAAATAAGATAACATTATAGACTGTTCTTTCTATATTCTAAGGACTATGGCTCCAATTTCCAACCAGTTTTTTTATCAAATGTAGTTTTAAAAAGAGAAAAATCACCAAAAGAGTAGACTAAGTATTAAATACTGTATTTTCTGTATTAGGAAAACATTGGAGTAAACAATGACAACAAGAAGATTGGATATTTTGGCTGAATTTCAATATTCAATATAATTTTAATTGCTCAAAGTAATTATGGTTTACTTTGACCAAATCTAGACCAAAAATGAGTCTTAAATGTTTCTTTTGATACTAAATATCAAAGTGTTTTTCACATATCTGGACCACAGCACAGTTACCCTTTTAAGTTAAAATTAACAAAACTGCAACAGAAAGAAACAAGGGTATTTTTTGAGGGAATTTTTTCAGTTTAATCTGATTATTAAAATGTTTTTTATCTACAAAATAGACTAAAGTAGTTTTGTATTTATTTGTTTCCGTATCAGGACACAGCAGACAGATTTATGAAGTAGTTTCAGTTATTAATATGGTTTTACTTCTGCATAAGTGTAACAAATAAACAAGATTAACATTCAGGATGAGAAACAGTGACCTGAGAGTAACCCTGCAGTCCAGATATAGAAAGTATTAAAAGGAAGGGGAGTTTTATTCTTATTTTCTTTTACCCTACATTGATCGCACCTTAATTTAAATACGTACTTTCCCACATCTGTACATTCAGAAAGATGTTTCCTTTCCTTTTTCACTGGAAATATTTGACATTTTGAATGCCACAACCAGGGGGAAATAAACTGTGTTCTTTAATATTTAAATGTCCATTTATTTCCTCATGTGATGTGAATAAACTGTGTTCTTTAATATTTAAATGTCCATTTATTTCCTCATGTGATGTGTTCCTGTGTTTCAGTTTGAGTACGCTCTGAGACACCTGTACGCTCTGGTGAACCTGTGTGAGAGAGGATACCCTGCAGACAGGTACGCTCCACGAAACACCAAATAAAACACTTTATTGTTGGTTTTATACTTTTCTTTTTGAGTCACCAGTAGAGGGTAAGAGGTATGTTCTTCAATGTAAAGATACACAACATTTTAAGAGGACATACCACATGCAAAATCAACATTCAGGTGATTATTTTACAATTTTTTGTCTATAGATTTCTCCTATATTCACCAGAAGTAATCACTACATAATGCCTAATTTGCGTATTTAAATATAACCTGTCAGAAAACTTGTAATATATTAAATGATTGTCTTAATGTCAGAAAGGAAGTGGGGAAGTTTCATGATATCTGTTAGCAAGGAAGAAAATGTCCCTATTCACCTGCTGTGTCTCCCCTTAAGAAGGCAAAGGAAAATTGAATTATTGGTCGTTAAAAGTTGAATATTTGATACTGAAATTGTGTTTTTTTTGTCTCTCTGCAGCATCCTGCTCGCCATGGACTCTGTGTGTCATTTCAGCAAGTAAAGGGGTTTCTAGAAAATCCTTAAACGGCTTCTTCTCCTTCATGTGGGAGAACCAGACGAGCTTCTCTTTGCACTGCTTTACAAATCAATCTGACGTGGAGTCACCGTTTCATCAACACTTCTTATTCTGTTTTTACCTTGTGATGTATTTTTGATTTTACTGAGAACTTTTAAACCTGTTTTATGATGAGTTGCACCCTCACTGTGATCAATATTGTGGATATTTTTACCCTTTTTAGGATATCAGATAGACAATTATAATGTTCATTTGCTCTTAGTGGTATGGACGGTCTGAAATGAATGGATGATTGGCATGTGGAGGACATACCGCTGAACACTGAATGTTTGCTGAACCTCAAGAGACTGTTGTAAACACTGGGATCTTGAAATAAAATCTAAAAACTGCAAAAAAGTCACTCATATTTCCACTATTTCTTTCCCTCTGTGGACATTCAATGCCTGCTGTTATTATCCCATATTGTCAAAATTACACTAGTATTTCACATTGTGGTATTCGTCACACATTAGCAGTAGCTAGTCTTCAGAAAAGGGATTGTATGGTGTTCAAATAAATCTACCGTTGACAGTTACACATCCTCTACCGTTAACCACTGTCAGCTTTATGAGGATTGTGGATCCCTGAGAGCTTCATGGTGTATTTAACAGGATATATCTTTCTGTGGGAGGGATTTTTAAGCATATTTAATGTCAGATCCATGAGGGAATTAAATTATATCCCATTTATCCCTTCCCTTTTATACTTTATGAGGCCTTTTTAAAATTCTGCTAATTTAATGGGATTTTTTACATGCAAAATCAGAAAGAATACACACAGTTTGAAATGACACAGAATATTTACAATTAGCAAAATTATTAACGGTCATTATAGTCCTTGACAGCGGTCTGTACTACTGGATTAGCGTGTCACATGTTCTGAATCTGAATTGACCAATCAGAATCGAGTATACAACTAAGCTGTGTAATAATATGAAAATATATATAATAATACGATGTTTCCATCTTTGAAATTGTTGCCCCATGTATTGTTAACGGAATACACAAACCATCCAAAAAAAAGGAGGAAAATCCATCACAAAGTACCACAAAATGTCCAGAAAGAGACACAAAACATGAAGAAACTAGACCATTAATAGAACCAAACAAATCAAATGTAATGCAAAACAGCTGCAAGGAACACAAGGAGACTCACAACTACTATGAAATGTTGCATGGCAAATACAAAGTGACACAAAACGACCACAAAACACCCAAGAAGAGAAAATACCACCACAAAGTCTCTGTGCCTATAGCTGGGGTTGATTTGCATGTCTTTGCTCTTGGGCCTATCGTCTCATAATAACCTGCCTAGTGTTCCCTATTGCCCTAGTGAGAAGATGAACGCAGGGCTATTCAATTGGCTATCTACTTTTATTTTTTTAAGACATTTTTTTTAAAGATTTTTTTTTGGGCCTGAGTGCCTTTATTCCAGAGAGGGTGTTGAATTGAGAGAAAACTTCGGCGGGCTCGGGTTTCGAACCCACCTACTAGCTACTGTTGTGACAACTTCTGTCATTTATTGCATCTCTGCGTGAATGATTAGATCATTTCACCTAAATTAAATCAAATTCAATTATGTTGATGGTTAAATTAGCTTCACATGTAGGCCTACTGAGTTCTGAACTTGCCATTTAGATCTAGAAAGGCCTTGGGGCTATGTTGTTTGATTTAATTAAACACAATATATGCACTCCACTATGCTGTTGTAGTATTTACTGTATCTGAAGCTCTTAATATGATTGTTCATATTTCAAGCCATCTTTTTCCCGGCCCCTTGCTTTGTATCGTTTTCATCAACCGGCCCCCATTCCAAACTAATTGAATAGCCCTGCCCTACAGAATAAATAAGAGTAATATTTCATTAATAATAAAGGTTTTTTTCATTTGAAATATCTCACCATTACCAGATCACTCTGCATGACTCCATGTGAAATTATGAAAGTGCGCCATCTAGTGGTACATGTCTGACTTACATCTAAGTATTGTGCAGCTTTATATTTCCACATATGTATATATTTAATCCCCAATTTAGTTATTACATTATTTAATAGGCGTAGTTATGTATTTATTTGAAGAGGAACGAAATTAACTTCAAAAGCAGTTGTGTGTGAAGGCTGTGCTGTTACGGTTGAAACCATAGATATATATAAACAGTGTTTATATATATCTATGGTTGAAACGGTCACCTGAGCAGAATGGTTCCCCCTCGTTCAGCTAACTTTTCTTTAGCTTGCCTGGCGGATATTAATACCAATTTACATCCTTTTCTTGTTCTATTCTTTTCAAACCGTAATTATTTGCTTTATTTTAGATTGAAATATATAGTTGTAAACAAGACTTAAGCATCACATTTCAACCAGGCAGAAGAATCTGGTACCTTTCCCCGCGGACCCAACTGTGACAGGGGAGGCGGCCTCCTTTAGTTCCAGCCCACCATGGATGTATAAAGCCCGTAAAACAGGAAGAAAACCCGGCCGAAACTCAAAACCCCTCCTCGTAGTATCAATACACGACAGACTATTGAAAATATTTACTATAAAAAACTAAATATCGCAGAGAAACAGCGTCTCGAGGACAGAGAACAGCCGTTTGGATTCCAACTGAAGCTCTAACGGCTGTTAGCGTCGTTAGCTTGTTTGCTAACTCTAACATAAATCCGTGTTGAGATTCTTCTACAGCTGGATTGATTTTTGGATTAAAAGACTCCTTTTAACTTTCACCATGGGATCCAGAGCCTCTACGTTACTCCGAGAAGAGGAGATTGAAGAGATAAAGAAGGAGACAGGCTGTAAGTTTATTTCTGTGTGACATTAGCTTTATATGTGTTGCTTTTAAAAGCTAACATTCTTTCAGTAAAATCACATAACAATTTGGGGGAAAACTATAAAGATATCATATGAGCAGAGTAAACAAAATACGCAAAACAGTGAATTGATATCAATAATAAAGGATATATATCTATATAGTACATGTATTGAATACACAAAATAAATACAGAATAGAAGGCAGTGTACATCATGCATGCCTATCAACCTCCTATAATGTAAACATTGAATTCACTTTACATGTGAGTTAGAATAATAAATTACGGTTTTAAGTTACATTTTAAATACTCAAGCGACCACCTGAAAACAATATATATATATAGAAATGAGTGAATACTATAAAGGAAGTTGCCCTAATTGCATTTATTGCCTGACTCTTGGGTCTCATTGTCATTGCACACATACACACTCTTGTGTAATGAGCTCCAGTATTTAGGTGAAAAGTGGTTTTACCTGAAGCTCTGAAAACCTGTTATCTGGTGGTTAAGGAGACATTAGCTTTATACACACATTGTGACATAAAGGTGACACAGTCTGTAGTATATTTCTATATATTTCTGCAGTTTAGTGAGATTTTATATTGTAGAGTATTCCATTTATTCAATATTGTTGTTATATTGTTTATTCTTTAGGTGCTCTAGTTCTTTTGTGAATATATATATATATACTTGTTGCTAATGTTAATTTGTATTCTGTCTGTCTGTCTGTCTGTATCTATCTATCTATCTATCTATCTATCTATCTATCTATCTATCTATCTATCTATCTTTCTATATATCTAAACAGCTAAAAACAATTTAATTAAAGTGCTCTAGTTCTTTTGTGAATATATATATATATATATACTTGTTGCTAATGTTAATTTGTATTCTGTCTGTCTGTCTGTCTGTCTGTCTCTATCTATCTATCTATCTATCTATCTATCTATCTATCTATCTATCTATCTATCTATCTATCTATCTATCTATCTATCTATATATCTTTCTATATATCTAAACAGCTAAACAGCTAAAAACAATTTAATTAAAATCCTTAACTAGTGTACTAAAAAGGAAGTTGCGTTAGTTGCATTTAATGCATGACTCTTGACTGTGTATCTGGGTGATATTGCACACATACACACTCTTAAAAAGACTACTTGGAGAGTAATGAGCTCCAGTATTTAGGTGAAAGTAGTTTTGCCTGAAGCACTGGAAACCTGTTATCTGGTGGTCTTATTATGGTGGTTAACTCCCCCCCTCTCTCTCTGGTGTCCCCCCCTCAGTCTCCCACAGTCAGATCACCCGTCTGTACAGCCGCTTCACCAGCCTGGACAAAGGAGAGAACGGCACCCTCAGGTAAGCAATCACAAAAGAGATAAAACACCTTCAAACCAGACGTGTTGTGGCTGATTAGTTGGGCCAGGAGACATGGTATCTTCAAATCAAATCAACATTTATTATAGCCCCAAATCACAAGAAGTGCCTCGAAGGGCTGTACAAAGCAAACAAACGCAAAATACAAACGTCATAGCAAAACAATTATAAATCCATTATACAACATTATACATCAACATAAGTATTGCCATGTAATAAAAGCATGTGACTGATGTTGGAGGACAGATGTTAAAAGACATGTGGGAACATCTCTGCATGTTTGTATGGCAATGAATTAAATAAATCTGGCTATGAAATAGAGAAATATGCTATGAAAGAAATCCAGAAAAACAAGGCAATAAATATATAAATGAGTTGGTTAACTTAATTTTTTCATCAGTAAAATCTTGTGGGAGGTTTTAAATCAGGGTGTCCGTGGGGTCTTAAAAAGTATTAACAGTTGATAAATCAATTTAGCGAAAATTAAGGCTATTAAAAAGGTATTACTACATTTTGTAGCTGCACGTCCTTTAGCTGTTTTAACACTTTAAATGTCCCGGCTGTGGGACCAATAAAAGATTTGTGATTCTAAAAAGAAATGGATTTAATTAAATGAGTGTTATATGTAAATATAAATCCAACAGTGCAGTGATTGAATCGTATAAGGTAAAGGTCAGCCATAGTGTAACTCACTCTCAGATTCGGGATTGATAATTAAATCTTTATCTTATTATCTGAGAACTTTGGGATTTTCTTTGTAGTATTCAGTCGGGACCTCAGTGTGACATTTCTGTGGTTTGTGATTAACTTCCTGCTCTATCTGGAGTTTGGAAAGAAACAGCAATAGGTGAAGAAACAGGTAATCATTAAAGCTGCTAACACATTACTTTGCTTTTGCACAGACTTTAGGCTTTTCCATATTTACAGATCGGTGTCTAACGGGTCAAATAAAACTACATCCCTTACAGGAACTCATTCCTGTGAAGACGTTCTGTTTACACATAACACGTTCTTGGTGCTGCTTGTTCTCCGGTATTTTCCGTCACAGGTACATCATTCTCAAGGTGACTTTCTTATCATTCATTAGTTTCCAAAACACACTTCTGTTCCGGCCGATGGACCAACAGGGTTCACACAAAGTGGGAAAATGTAATGACATTTCAACCGTTGTGCTTTTTAAATGAGCTTGTAGTTGAATACACTCCTTGAAGAACGCTTGGTTTTAAATATAATCTGTTGTTTTTATTTACACAAATGTCCCATACATGTAAAAAAAGGTCTTTCTATTTGTCTGTTGTCCCCTGGCATCTCACACCAGACGCTAGCTAAGCATTAAATAATCATTATCAAGATTACAATCTAAGTTAACAGCTGGTAGACTGACAGTAAACAGCGGTCATGAACATATATGGCAGTAGGTTTAAAGTCCTTCTGTACACTTTGTTTCCCCACAATTTCATTTATTGTAACCATTTAGGATGCAACGATAAAGGCTGGACAGTTTTTGGGGTTTAATACCTTTGCTAGGGCTTGAATTGTAATCTTAAAAATCTCAAAAAACCTTTTTATAGACTTACAAATGAATACAGTCATGAACAAGTTTGTTTTCCGTCCCTATTGTGCGCTCACCGTCTCCTGTTTTCATATTTGGAAGTCTGATTTTAAAGAATAATGGCAGGGTGAGCTTTATCATATTATTTTTTTATGTTGACCTAGGGTTGCATATCGTTGACTTTTTTTACGATACCAATACCACTGAACGATACCGATACTCAACCGATACATATCGTGATACTTTCATGTTGCATAAGGGAAACATTGAATCATCCCGCAATTACTCCCATGAAGCGCTTTATTATATAGTTAACATGTCAAATGAATATTAAATTCAATTGTGGGACTTGGACCTGTTAGTCCTGAACAAACAATGAAAAACAAGTTATCTATGAAGGAAACAGATTCTGCAATATCATTTATAACAACCATCAGGCGGGAATAGTACATCTTGTCAATGGAAAAAGAAAATAGCACCAGTATAATCAATATTCAACCTGAGATTCGACTGACCAGAGAACACATAAAGGATCATGAGATCTCGGCATTGCATATAAAAGAAATAGCATCATTAAAATCAACATTATATTATTATTATAATATAATATATTATATCTGCTCTCTGGATCCAAACGGGCCCTTTCACAGCGTAGGATCTCACCTGCTGAACTGAACACTCTCGCTCGGCACGCTGCTTCCCTGAACACAAAGGTACTTGGTTGCCATACGAGACAGCATTGGTTGGAGGTTGGACGTGCTAAGCTAGGTGGAATAAGGGCAAGGGGTTAGTTGATTAGGAGTTGAAGGCAAGAGTGAAAAGGTGAGTTTTGAGGGATTGTTTGAATGATGTGAGAGTGTTGGCGGATCTGACGTGGCTGGTGTTGACCCCTTTCCCAGAAATAAACTTCTTGCAGTGGGTACAGACCCCACCATTCAGACTGGCAGTCATATGTAGCCACACTTTAGATTTTCTAAATAAGGCCCACACTCCACAGTGACTCGTTTGCGGAGTTTCACGGTGAAATCGTAATTTCGACGGTTTGGGCGAGAGTTTAAGGAGATTACGCCTCACTTTTATTAAAAATAAAATAAAAGTATCGAAAAACGGATCTGATTTCGGTACAATATACCGTAGCCGCCAGTACCCGGTATTTCGGTAATACCGGGTACCGGTATGCACCCCTACGTTGACCCCAGTTTAAGATATTTTCTTAATTGTTGCAAGGTTTTAGATGAATAATATCTCTTTGTAAAACATGCTTTGTTAATATTAATTTGCCATTTTTCCCTCCTGTCTGCAGTCGAGAAGATTTCCAGAGGATTCCCGAGTTGGCCATCAATCCTCTGGGAGACCGAATCATCAACGCCTTCTTCCCCGAGGGGTGAGTTATCAGTTATTGGTCTAAAAGATTAGATTATACGCAGGACTGTGCATTAAAGGTTTGACTCACAACCACCACATATCTGAACAGGCTTCAGCTGTAGCGGCCTGAAGTATACAGTATACTGTGTTAGAAGAAAATCATCTGGGTTTTTATTTCTGTATTTTCTGCAGTCATTTTGATTTATCATTCTGAAAGAGGAAAACCAGATGTTTCCAAACATATCATTAAAATCCCCAAAAGTTAGATGGTGTTTTATATTTAGCCGTGGCTGGTAAAGTCTTCTTGTTGCTCTGGTTTTTCAGATGTTGTTTAACTTGAGAACAGACGTGCAGAGATGGACTCTGTTAAACGGTGTTGGGTTACGACTAGTGTGAGTTTCATTGTGTCGAGGATAAAGGAAATCTGAGCCACAACAAAGCTGTATGGGATGCCATTAAATACAATATCAAATAAAGACTCAAAAACGTAAAAAAAACTCAATAAATATTTCTTTAAGGCAAGGACGTTTTTAGGAAATAATATATGTTGAAATTCTTGAAATAAAAAAAGGTAGTCCTTTTATAAAAACATCCACTTTTCCTTTAAAGGAGACTTATCATGCAAAATGCACTTGTTGATGTCTTTTATACATAAATATTAGGGGTGTAACGGTTCACAAACATTTCGGTTCGGTACGTACCTCGGTTTTTAAGTCACGGTTCGGTAAGTTTTCGGTAACAGCAGAGAAAATGATCACAAAACATAAAATATATATATATTTTTTTTAATTATTATTAAACTGTGAATAATGTATTCACTCAAATAAATACAAAATATAATAAAATAGACATTAAGGTGCAGCATTTCGATGAACTGAAATAATCTGTATTTTAACTATACTGGACTAGTACCTAAGCAGCCAGCTTGACATTAGGACTTGCTTGTCATTGTATTTTCATGTTTTTTTAAAGAGAAATTCACTTGTCCACATTGCTTGCTGAAAGGGCAGATCTGCTGGCACTAACAATGTCTCCTGCTGTGGAGAACACCCTCTCGCTAGGGACAGAGGTAGCAGATACAGCCAGGTAGCGCTTTGCTAACATGGCAACATAAGGATATTTGGCGTTTGTAATAGCTTTGGCTCGGTCTGAACTTTTTGCGAGTGTTGGAGGCTTAAATGCTCGTGGGAGTTGGGTTTGCACTTCAGTCATTTTTCTTTTGGTACTGGTGATATTCACGTTCGGGTGATGCCTTTTCAAATGAGTGTGCAAGTTTTTTATATATTTGTATATATCTGAGACCTATGCTATTGCCTAAAAATAGCATGATAGGTGACTTTTTAATGAAATAATATTCTACCGTGTTGTGTCATGTCTATTATACTGTTCATGCTCACTGCTTGTAGCACTTTGGGATTTGAAATCAAATATGAAGTGCTTTATAAATGGAACCCATTATTATTATTATTATTATAAATAACATAATTTCATTAAAGATCCATAAATAAATGAATGAGGAAAGAATTATAATAGTACATATATGAATGTGGTGCTATAGTTAGAAAAATGTATTATTAGTGTACATTTATTTCACTGAATTATTTTTATTGGCATATTCATTAAAGATTGAATGAAATGACCATCCATACAGTTGAATTAAATCCTTTTTTTCCACTTTATTGTGCTGTATATTTATATTTCTTGTCTCTGTCTCTGTTTCTCAGGGAGGACCAGGTGAACTTCCGGGGCTTCATGAGGACTTTAGCTCACTTCAGGCCCATCGAGGACAACGAGAAGAGCAAGAACGCCGCCGTCAGCGAGCCGCTCAACAGCCGAACCAACAAGCTGCTGTGTGAGTGACAGCGCCGTCACAAAGGGGGCGGGATCACCATCACTCACAGGGTCTCATACAGCGATCTCACTGTGTCCGTCCTGACTCTTTTTACTTTTTATTTTTCCAGTTGCTTTCCAACTGTATGACCTGGACAGAGATGACAAGATCTCCCGGGACGAGCTGCTGCAGGTGAGTGGACCGCTGAATAAGACGCTGAGTCACCGTGTGTGTGGAGCCGATTGCAAATATGTTTTTTCTTCCAGGAAATTCTTTGTTATTACCTCTTAAAATATTTGCTTTTCAGCGTGTTGAACAAAGACTGTTGTGCAATACTAAGTGAACTCGCTCTCCTTGTGGAGGAGGAGACTTTGCCCTCTGCTGATAGTGACGTGATATCTCAGCTTAACTCTGATTTCTCCAGACGCTGTAACGTCCTGTGTTTTGCCTCGCTGCGTCTTATCTGTTGTCCCATCTGGGTTTGTGTGACATTTTGCGACCTGTAATTGCTGTAAGCTCGGGGTTTAATGACTCAGACACACTTCTCTTGTTTTGCGCAAAACATTTGTGTCGCCGGCCTCGTGTGACGACGAGCCTCAGTGTAATGCTGCGTGTTATTCAGTAAATACTACTCTCTGTATTTAATCTGTAATCGCTACAGTCATGTGTGTTTAACCATAATTACTACAAATTATCCTGTGTGGAAATACACGTCGCACCATCACCATATGTGACCTGCTCTATCGAAATCAGTCGCATTGACGTGTGTGTGTGTGTTGGTGTGTGTGTGTGTGTGTGTTGGTGTGTGGTTGTGTGTGTGTGTGTGTGTGTGTGTGTGTGTGTGTGTGTGTGTGTTGTGTGTGTGTGTGTGTGTGTGTGTGTGTGTGTGTGGTGTGTGTGTGTGTGTGGTGTGTGTGTGTGTGTGTGTGTGTGTGTGTGTGTGTGTGTGTGTGTGTGTGTGTGTGTGTGTGTGTGTGGTGTGTGTGTGTGTGTGTGTGTGTGTGTGTGTGTGTGTGTGTGTGTGTGTGTGTGGTGTGTGTGTGTGTGTGTGTTGTGTGTGTGTGTGTGTGTGTGTGTGTGTGTGTGTGTGTGTGTGTGTGTGTGTGTGTGTGTGTGTGTGTGTGTGTGTGTGTGTGTGTGTGTGTGTGTGTGTGTGTGTGTGCACCCTCTACTGGCTAAAAGAGGTAAAAATTCAGAGCGCTGGACATCAGAGAAATCAGCAGAGGTAGACAGACAGGAAGTAAACACTAAAGGGAATGTGTGTGTGTGAAAACACTCACGAGAAACACCGGCTGTTGTTATGCCTGCTGTGACGTTAAGTTACTCCGTTCTCCGCTTGTAATTATGTCTACAAGCTTCAAAGTTGTATTTATCATCTGAATTTGCCGAAACAAGTTTAATATTCTAAAAGCCAAGACTTTGTTTAATTGAAATCAGATGAAAACAAACTGTAACGGACCCTGCCGTGTTATCTATGATTACTATACGCCTTGCATTCATAATTTCAGCGGGAGGGAGGGGAAGCTGCGCTGCGGAACAGCAGAGTGGCGAGTGAGAGGTGCCATCTTCCCTTTACAAGCTTCAAACATGTATTTATCTTGTGGTTTTGGAAATAAAAGTTTCATATTCTGAAAGCCAAGACTTTGTTATTTAAAATCAAACAAAACACCCGAACCCTGAAAAAATATTTATTTACGCAAATCCACGTTTATTTTTAAATGAGCCGTTGCGACTTCCGACTGATTTCGATAGAGCGGGTCACATATTGTTGGGCAGACATCAGGACTATCACTCATCTTTGCCATGTTTTTCATGACTTCTCTCCAGGTGTTACGGATGATGGTGGGTGTGAATATCTCTGATGAGCAGCTGGGCAGCATCGCTGACAGGACCATTCAGGAGGCGGACACCAACGGAGACAACTCCATCTCCTTCAACGAGTTCATCAAGGCACGTTTCATACATCTCTTTATACTAAGGGCTTTAGATCTAGTAGTACGTTCTCAAATAAGAGCAAATATAGAACTTCTATTGAAAGTATAAGGAAGAAAAGTTTACAAGAAATGTAAATATCCAAAAAACGAATTACAAAAACAACATGACAAATTGCTCTAAAAAGAAAAGGTTTTCATTGCATCCATAGAAATGTTTCTGCTCTCGGTTGCTGCACACAAAAGTAGACCCAGATGGTATATGACCTATGACCTATCAGCACCATACATTACAGTTGATATAAACACAGTAACAAAGCAATCTTTGCAAAACTATTATCCTTGTTAAGTTACTATGAAAAGACAAGATGCACAACATTTAGACAACAATTTTAATGAATCTAAGCCCTGGTTTTACTTTTTATTTTGGTTTGAACAAATGCTAACAAGTTGGTTCAAATGTATTTATTGAAACTGATTCCACATACTGTTTCATTCCCAGAGTGAATGTTTAATGTTCTATCAGGGTGTCCGCGGGGTCTTAAAAAGTATAACAAAGTATTAAACGGCATTTTCCAAGGTATTACATTTTGTAGCTTGTTTTCAATAAGTATATAAATGGTCCAAAGAGGTTGTATTCTACAGTCTGCCTGAATGTAATCATTGCGTAGGTGTGTAGTGTGATTCTGTGTAGTTTATTTATGGCATCCCGTTGGATTTGACGTCATCTGAACAGGACATCGCACGCTCACTGCTTGATAGCGCGCGAAGGTCTGTTTACGCCGGTTGTTAAGCAACATCGTTATGGGGAAATGCAAGTTTGCGTCCAAATGGTTGGAAGATAAGAAGGAAGGACAGTCAATACTGTATATAGTCAATGTGAGGTAAAGTGTGTCGCCAATGTAACCGGTTAGAACTCCAAGTGGCGATGAGGTCTTAAAATGTATGGAAAGGGTCTTAAAAAAGGTCTTAAAAGGTCTTACATTTGATTTCAGGATTCCTGCATATACCCTGATCTGTGTTTGAGTTAATACTTAACAGCCAGTGTGAGCTCAGTTTCAACCTGTCTGTGTCTATCAAACATTACAGAAATATGTACTAACTTGTTCCGTTGTCTTTCCTCAGGTGTTGGAGAAAGTGGACGTGGAACAGAAAATGAGCATCCGGTTCCTGCACTAAACAGCTGATGTTTTTTTTGTTTTGTTTTTTAAAAATGTTGAGTAGAGCTTCAACATGCGAGTTGGAGCCCGAACTCACAGCGGGCCACACTACGAGAACACGCTGTCGCCGGGTAGATCACCTCATAGATCCTGTACACAAAGGGAAGTGCCTTGGGTTGTTTTATGCAATGTCACTGTGTTGTTTGGAACATTATTTATTAGGAAACATTTAGAGGGTTCTACTTTCCACAGGAGGATTTATGTTCTAGCTCGGTACGATAACGCGTTCAATAGCTAGTACATGTTGTGTCTTTGTCTCTATACTTATGCAATGGATTAATGTGTAAGATGTGTGATTCCACGTGGAAACAGACGGTGTTTTAAATGCTAACATGACTCCTTAATATCGCCGACAGCTCTGAGTTCGTTACTCGATTTAAAGCTGAACGCACACTTTGTGTTTCACTCACTAAAGTGCCATGGCTTCATTATCTCAACAGTGAACCCTTATGGCCATGTTTGTGTATCTGTTTTTCATAATCTAGCTACTGCCAATAGATTGTAATTACCTGTAGGATTTAACCAAAGTGAGTTCCACGCTATTTCAACGCCTGCTGGAGCTAGGACGTGTTTAATGTCATCATTAATTAACTCTGTTATAGCGTGTCTTCCCTAATATATGTTTAAATTGGTATTACCAGATTTAGCTGCCACTGTGGCCTGATTTAAAAAAAAAAAAAAAAAAGTGTTACCCCGTGTTTGAGTCGTCTGAAAGCCCTGTGGTGGAGAGTGGGAGGTTAGATTTAACACTTAAAACCAGTAAATCCATAATGGTGCATCATGCTTCCCTAAATGTGATCAGCTGCTATGGGAAAGATGTATTACCAGGCACAGCGGTGACAAGGTTGCTGATACGGTGTCGAAATGTTTGTTGACGTTCAAACTGCTTCAACATTCACTTGATTTCCCCATTTCTCAGTTCCAGCTGCTTTAGAGAATCAGATGCTTTAATAATATATATTTTCTGTACAGGCTAAGTGTGACATTATAATCTTTTAGTTTGTCAAATCCTCACCCTGCAGCAGCCGACTGCAGGAAATACGACTTGTTAATCATTATGTGATTATCGATCAGATATGATTCACATGTTACGTGATGTTGGTATTATCTCAGTAATTCATCCATTTTTGATTTGAATAAAATTAAGTGCCATGCTCGCTTTGTGTCTATTTTACCTGATGTGTCTGGTTTTAACATTTCCTTTATTTTGGACACTTCTTTATCTCAAACAAGTGGTTTTTGGTGCGTCAATAAATGTATAAAATATATAAACCTACTAATAAATATACTGTATGTTGGATGTTATACTTTAAAGGGCCCATGTCATGCTTTTCTGGTTATTACCCGTCCCCTTGTGTGTTATGAAAGTTGTTCTGCATGTAAACAGTCTGCAGAGTCACAAACCCTCAAAGTACACCCTGTAGCGAGTAAAACTCTAACACAGAAAAGACCTGTCTATGCTGCCCCAGAACGCCTCGTTGGACATTTCTCTTTTTCCATTGTTTGCTTCTTGGGTTCTGTGACGTGTGAATACCCAAATCAACAACAAATGACCGGATTGGCCCAAATGGACCAATCCTTGGAGCACCTCACACACCAGGATACCTTGGCTAACTAACAGGGAGTCCCCATTGACTTGCAGAGAGCTCCCTGCTTGGTAATAGACGAGTTGGGATCGTGGAGAAATGCTCTCTGCAGACCCATTCTCACAGCGTTATAAACCTTTTTCTTACTCAATATCAAGCCACACTTATTGTTTTTACTTTGGCTGTGAGTGTTCGTGTGTGCTCAGGATGAGTTTAGCTTGTTCTCACTGTATCGCCGACCCGGAAACCTGTCCGCTCCTCGCAGCGGCGAGCAGCAGCGAGCCTCGCAACGTCCCGACCAATCAGAGCACACTGGGCTCACAGGGAGGGGGGGGGGCAGGAGCTCCAACAAGCCGTTTAGGACAGAGTGAATACACATACTATACAGAGATGCTGTATGAGAAACCAATGTGATTTTGGAAAATTGCACAATATAAATGTATTCTAGTAGACCTCAACAATGGAAATATGATCAGTAGACATGGCCATGACATGGGACCTTTAACTAACCATTCATGTCTTTATTAATACATTGTTTTTTTCATTCATTGTAATTTTGTCTATAATATGAACAAAATGCCACTAACCAGTTTAAGTCTAAAAGTCCAAGGTGATGTCTTTAAGTGTCCGAAGATATTCACTTTAATATGATATAAAACATGAAAGCAGCAAAACTCCATATTTTATTAAAATATAATATTTGCATTTACCAGGCGATTAAAACATGTAAGAGTTTTCAATAAAAAACAGCTAAATTTACCCAAAAATATTCATATAAAATAGAAGGTGGACTAAAATCCAATAGAAAGAGGTGTGTCCTAATTGTCCCTGATTTGGAGTCATTGATTGATTGATTGAATTGATTGATTGAAAAGTGTATTAACAGCTTGTATATTGGGTACAGTACAGTACATCTCACAACATACAATTGTTAAGGGGATGCAGACCAGAGAAAGACTTTCGTCTTGTTTACATCAGGGTCCCCCATTTCCAATTCATCATATCATTTAAAGGGCCCATGTCATGGCCATTTCCACTGATCATAATTACATTGTTGAGGTATACTAAAATAGATTTATACTGTGCAATTTTCCAAACTCACATTGGTTTCGCATACAGCATCTCTGTCAAGCATGTGTATTCAGCAGTATTCACTTTCTCCACTAAACGACTCGTTGGAGCTCTTGCCCCCCCCTCCCTGTGAGCCTAGTGTGCTCCGATTGGTCAGCTCGGCCACTCTGTTCTGATTAGTCAACCACCAGAGAGGCTGCGCCCATGTCTAAACGGCTGCTCTCAGCCGAACATCAGTCTTATCATGGCGTCGGTACAGCCGTATATTTTATATACATATATATATTTTTAACTGTTGTTATAGAAGAGTGTGACGGCCCCAGGGCCTTTGTCTTACGATGGGGTGGAGCTGAAGAGGCTAATCAGCGCGATCACGGACACCTGGCCGGAGCCGAGGTGCTAGCCAGCTGCCGGGAGTCACACGGCAGCCTCTCTCTCCCTCCAAGCAGCACAGCAATCCTCTTCCCTGACCACGTATCTCTGCATTTACCACAATAAATGTGCCGTGGTTTTGTAAACTCGTGTATGTCTCCTTGTCTTTCCGTTGTGGCCTACGAGCCGGTCATAACAAAGAGTAAGTTATTTTTACCCGTTATAAACTACTACTGTTTGATGAGAAATCAAATCATGGTTTGCTATATATAGTATTTCCATTAAACTTTATTTTTAGAAATGTACAAAATGAACGTAAATATACATATATACACGGTATATCGTCAATCACTCCCCGTTGTCGGCATCTTGCCTATAGCAGCCGGGGCTTTTTAGGACGAGGCCTCAGTGTGGTAGTCCGGTCCCCGTCATGTATTGTCCGGCAGGATCTGGCTGGACGAAATCAAATGCAAATCACAAAATATTAGAGAAACTTAGTTGTTTTAGATTCGTTAGTAGTAGTTGTGGTAGGAGTGTGGATCTATCTAATCAATCTAATGAACAGCTTGCCAGCTAATATGCTAACCTAGCTTTGTTTACCTTGGTAGCTAACGTTAGCTCGGAGGAACGGCAACTATAATGCAGGGTTGCCAACTTTGGGTACCTGGCTGGAGTGAGATTTTGAGATCATGGGTTTAATTCGGTTTAATTACACATATGCGCACGAAATGACTGCTATCGTGTCAGCAGCGAGACCTTAGCATATAGGATATATATACAATATATACAAATACACAATAATGGACACAGACTATAAAGGGCACAAAGTTGCATTCACTAATGAAAGTCAAACATGTTTGTTTCCACTGTTTTATTGTGTGCCTGTCGCGATAAGCAATTAAATGACTTATCGTACGATAAATAAAAATGAACTCGATAACTTTTCTGACCTCGATAAATTGCCATTTACATGAGGATGTGACTAGCAGTTTGAAAGGATGTACTTGAATTATTATTATATATTATCATTATGTCAGTGGTCTAAAATGGTCATACAACGGTGCCGACAATATTATCGTTTATCGCAATAATTTCCGGGAAAATGTATCCAACAAAATGAATTATCGTGAGAGGCCGATACATGAAACACACACACACAAACAAATCTACAGACTTACTCCAAACTGCCAAATATATTAATTAACACACTCTCACTCTCATATACTCTTTGACTCTATGTTGGCCTAGTAGAACAATAAGCAGCAGACTTTTACTTTATCATTTCTACTGGATCTCAGATCTGCGCATGCGCAATACGGGTCGGCAGTTGCGGCTCCAGAGTATTTTTGTTGCGTAATCTATGGTAGGGCTAACCCATACAGTGGTGGGGCTCAAGTCAGTATTTGCAATGTAATTACACACACGCTATATCGCCCCCTTGACAGTGAAACGCCACGCGTGAGGTTTAGATGATTTCCCTGTCTCAATCCAAATTGAACTGTATGAAATAAAAAGGCACATTTGTTTTGTAGTAAATAAAAAGGGCGACCTGGAGCCAATCCTGCAATTTCCCCACAGGTGAAAGAGTTGACATGCTGAAGACCCAACCCCTGCAGGGGGGTCTGGGGGGATTCTCCCCCAGGAGATTTTTTTAAATACTAACATCAAATACACATTCTGGTACTCTCTTCAGAAGAAAAATAAATAAATCTATTACTACACGACATATTTAAAAAAATGAATGCCATATTAGTTTTGTGTGACTTTGTTCTGAAAGCTGAACCTGCTGCTCCTCACAGAGAGAAGAGGGAAGAGGCTGAATGACTTTACATTGTGGATAAGGGTGGATAGCCCCCATTGTTCTGTGTGTCCAAATGAAAGACAGCCCACACACCTATCAATCATCAAACCGTGGGGTCTTATTTCATTACGTGTTGATTTCTATCAGTCAATGTTGTATCGATGTATAGAGATGTACTACCGCAAAAGTATTCTCCGTCGGGACTTCCTGCAACAACACCACGCCGTTATCGTGATTCTGATTGGCCAGAAGACATTATCAAAGATGTTTTATTGAGAAGACGATCACTACGTGACAAAAGTTTTCAAAACCGTTTCTCGTCTTCGGTATTCTTGTTTTTGGCGTGAGAATAGTTTGGGCAGCGTGAGAGCGTGAGCTTGAGAGTGAAAGCGTGTGTCACACGCCAGATGCGTGAGAGTTGGCAACCCTGCTATAATGTAGAGTAATAAAACTACTATGAACAAAAGCTAGTGGTTCATATTAGGCTAGCAATAACGTGTTTATAATTGCAATGTTATATGGGTAGTCTGCTACGTTCGGTCATACATTGTAACGGTCATGAATACATTGTTTTGCGCTAGCATACAGCTAGCCTCGAGCTATACATGCAATATATACTGTCACAATGTACGGTAAATCACCCGGAGTATACTGTATGAGTATTCCGTGTGTGTGACTGCAGACATTCTCCTGCCATGACAAACATGTAAGGCCATCTGCTGACATTGTAGTTGATATATTTAAACGCTAGCAACGTAGCATCACAAAAATGTTTTTCCGACCAAACCTAGCTCTAGCTCTAGCTCCTAGAGATGGGCGAGTCCTGATTCATCCGGATCATTAACCCGGATCCTAGAAATGAGCTGGTCATGACGAGTCTCCCCTCTCCATTAACCCGAGTCCTTGAGTCCCACACTTGGTGTGACGTACAAATTAAAACTATAAATTGCGTCACTCGCTACTCTCTTTATAACATGTAAAATCACATTACAACGTACCCCAGTCCATCTACCTACCCTTTAGCAAGTATACAGGATAGCTGCCAGAAGTGATCGTTTGGCTCAGGGGAGGGGACGCGGATCAGTGAAACTTCCTGCAGACTCGTGGGGACTCAGAGGAGCCGACGGCTCCAACAGCAGACTCGCAGATTCGCAGATTCGCAAATCCTGACTCGCTGCAACACACAGCGGATCAGACTCGTGCGGACTCGGAGCCGTAACCGTATAGCAGCAGATCCAGAGATCCAGCAGACTCGTCGTCATGCACGAGTCCACACAGCAGACTCGGATTCGCAGATTCACAAATCCTGACTCGCTGCAACACACAGCGGATCAGACTCGTGCGGACTCGGAGCCGTAACCATATAGCAGCAGATCCAGAGATCCAGCAGACTCGTCGTCATGCACGAGTCCACAGCAGACTCGGATTCGCAAATCCTGACTCACTGTGTGTGCAACACACAGCAGAGCAGACTCGTGCGGACTCGGAGCCGTATATAGCAGCAGATCCAGAGATCCAGCAGACTCGTCCTCATGCACGAGTCAACAGCAGACTCAAAATAACCCTTTTTTTTGTGATCAACATTTTTTATTAAAGCAAAATACACTGTGTAGCGGAGGTTAATTATAACGTCAGTTTAATAGATAGATAGATAGATAGTACTTTATTGATCCCAAATTGGAAAATTGTTGTTGTTACAGCAGCATAAAAGGCATTTTACAATAAAACAAAACTACAAAATATACAAGAATAGAAAAAATATATATATATACATGTCGAAATAGAAAATATACATGCAGATATTATATATATATATATATACAAATATATATATATATTCAAAATATATGGAATAATAATATGCTCGTGAAATGCAACAACTTTTCGGTTTCACCAATAGGATTTCTACGGTCTTGGTCATGCTGACTCATATGACTCAAATGACTCGTATGATCCGGATCTCTTCAATGACTGACTCAGAAGACCCTGAGTCCGTAAAATGATCCGGATTTGCCATCTCTACTAGCTCCGTGTGTTAGATCGGTTGCATACACGCTACGCCAGCTATAATGTAATTACGTTTCGCGACTGACCGCACGGCAAATCACCCGGAGTATACTGTCAATAGGTATTTTGTGTGTGAATGCAGACATTCTCCTGCTATGAGATACATGTATGCAAGGCCATCTGCTGATATTAGAGTTGATATATGGAAACTCTAGCAACTTAGTTAGCACAGTTAGCACTGTGTCAATGGCTTAGCAGTCCAACACAGTTTACACATTTAAACAGTCTTGTTTGATAAATACACAAATAACAATGCAAACTTACAGGTTGTATACCCAGATCTTCCCCTGCTCCAAACGGTCCAAACAAGCTGTGCATATCCGGCCTCAAACTGGGCAATGTTTTGGAAGCTTTCGTCTGTGAAATGCCGGTTCTTCGAACCTCTGGAGGAACACGCCGCTGCTGGTATGGCCATAGCTCTTCGGGATTGGTCCATTTCGTTCCGGGTACCGCATGACATCAGGCGGTACCCGGAACTAAATGGAAGACTCAAATGGGCAGTGACGTATCTCCAACGAGGCGTTTTGGGGAGGTATTTTCTGTGTTAGAGTTTTACTCGCTACAGGGTGTACTTTCAGGGTTTTGACTCTGCACACCGTTTACATGCATAAAAACCTTCATAACACACAAGGGGACGGGTAATAACCGGAAAAGCATGACATGGGAGCTTTAAGACATATAAGACATATTTGACATACAGATGGCTTATTTACAATTTACATACAGGTGTTTTTTTTACATACAGATGGCTTATTTACAATTTTCATTTTAGATGACTCTCTCCGACCCTCGCAGCGAGCAGACGCTCCGGTCTCTCTCTCTCTGACCCTCGCAGTGAGCAGACGCTCCGGTCCCTCCCTCTCTGACCTTCGCAGCGAGCAGACGCTCCGGTCTCTCTCCCTCTGACCCTCGCAGTGAGCAGACGCTCCGGTCTCTATCTCTGACCCTCGCCGTGAGCAGACGCTCCAGTCTCTCTCCCTCTGACCCTCGCAGTGAGCAGACGCTCCGGTCTCTCTCTCTCCGACCCTCGCGTGAGCAGACGCTCCGGTCTCTCTCCCTCTGACCCTCGCAGTAAGCAGACGCTCCGGTCTCTCTCCCTCTGACCCTCGCCGTGAGCAGACGCTCCGGTCTCTATCTCTGACCCTCGCCGTGAGCATAACGCCTCCGGTCTCTCCTCTCTCTGACCCTCGCAGTGAGCAGACGCTCCGGTCTCTCTCTCCCCGACCCTCGCGTGAGCAGACGCTCCGGTCCTCCTCTCCCTCTGACCCTCGCAGTGAGCAGACGCTCCGGTCCTCTCTCTCTCTGACCCTCGCAGTGAGCAGACGCTCCGGTCCTCTCCTCTCTCTCCCGACCCTCGCCGTGAGCAGACGCTCCGGTCTCTCTCTCCCTCTGACCCTCGCAGTGAGCAGACGCTCCGGTCTCTCTCTCCCCGACCCTCGCAGTGAGCAGACGCTCCGGTCTCTCTCTCTCTGACCCTCGCAGTGAGCAGACGCTCCGGTCTCTATCTCTATCTCTATCTCTGACCCTCGCTGTGAGCAGACGCTCCGGTCTCTCTCTCTCTGACCCTCGCAGTGAGCAGACGCTCCGGTCTCTCTCTCTCTGACCCCTCGCTGTGAGCAGACGCGCTTGGTCTCTCTCTCTGGAAAAAAAAATTAAATAAATAAAAAAAAAAATAATAATAAACTTCGCTAGCCATGCCGCCGGCCGCATCAAGCAGTTCAACCAGGGAACATACTGGGGCGCTCCAGACTCCGAGCTTTACTGCCGCATCTTCGCAGCACGCGCATCCCTCTCTTGCCAATTACGTGGAGCCCCCTCCCACCTGGCCTCAGCATGCTTAGTCAGCGCTCCACCACCCTCAAACACCTCACTCACTTTCCTCTCCATCACGCAACGCCTCAGACTTTAACCGTCTATCACCCGCAGGGAGGCAGGACGGCGTGTAATAACTTCAACGAACGAGGCTGCTTGCTCTCTAACCGCCACCTAATTCACATCTGCTCTTTCCGCGGCGTCGCTCATACCAGGAGCACCTGCCCCCACAAACCCAACCTAACATTTATGGCATCAACGTATTTTCCCTTAGAGCGTAACGGAGGCCCGGTTCTGGGCAAACCGCGCGCGCATCATTCTAACCCCTCAAGGTAATGTTTAGTTGGATTTAGAAGTGAAGATGTAGTCACTCGTTCCGGGCACGTTATCTTCAAGCCACACGTTTCTGGTCCAGAAACACTTTCAGAACATCCCGCACATTTTGGGGGCACTCTCAGAATTAGAGCCATTTCTCCCGCATCGGCGCAGCGTCCACAGCAGCTAGACCAGGCATCTCTTATCCAACCACCTAGGCCCTCGGCCGCTCGTCATCCCAAGCGTACCACGCTTACATCCGCAACAATCTAAACGACGTCTGACATGCACACGCTTAAGTCAGCTGCTTTTAATCCGACTCTTTTGGGGGACCGTAATCAGCACCACGCAGATCATGCCGAGACGGAACCCCCACTCTGAGTCTCCCACTGCACGGACCATAGCTCGTCCTCCCAGATCATCTCTTCACACCCCCTCATATCCTTCACACGTTTACTTCAATAAACGTACAAACATCACACTGTTGTGGCGTGGTTCTTGCTAGTGAAATGAGGTTAAAATGTTAACATAGGTTTCAGGAGCATGGCCAACGCCTAAAACTCCGCCTCAAACCACGGCCACCCCTATTTATATCCGGCGACAAGCTTCCGGCCACCGCTTGTCTCATCTTTCAACCCACCCTCCCTCACCCTTCTACCCATACAGTTCCCCTTCCGACTCACACCGAGCGTACATCCATCCCTCCCTCCCCACAATCCTACATCCCTTATCCTCCATACCCTACATCCCTTCATCCCTAATCCCTTCATCCCTAATCCCTCCATCCCCTCATCCCTCATCCCTACATCCCTCATCCCTCTATCCCTCATCCCTCCATCCCTCTCAGCCCGTCATCCCTCATCCCTCCATCCCCATCCCCTCATCCCTAACATCCCTCATCCTTTCATCCCTCATATCCCTTCATCCCTCACCCTCATCCCTCATCCCTCATCCCTCCATCCCTTCATCCCAACATCCCTCTGCCCATCACCATTTATATCTAAACGGTTGCATATCTATATACTGCGTATACTAACATTAAAAATCCCAGGTATCGTCTGGGGGACCGTAATCAGCCCCACGCAGAATCATCGCCGGAGACGGAACCCCCACTCTGAGTCTCCCACTGCACGGACCATAGCTCGTCCTCCCAGATCATCTCTTCACCCCCTCATATCCTTAACACGTTACTTCAATAAAGTACAAACATCACACTGTTGTGGCGTGGTTCTTGCTAGTCGAAATATGAATAATTCTAGTGTCAATAGTAGTCCATTTTAGTGTGTATTACAAACAATACGCCCCAGTTCCCAGTTATCACAATGTTGGTGTTATTCACCAGACTTTTATGCCATACAGTGAGATATCATGTGTTACAGGACAAGCTGTGGCCCCTCTGCACACCTGAAGACTGTGTGAATGTAGCGACAAAAAACCTGACTGATACTGAGAGCTTCTTGGGTGGATCATATTGTCCTGGGCTGACACACAAACCTCTGTAAAGAAAGTGTTGTTGCATCTCAAGTTCAAACAAGCCACTGATGACTAAGGAAGTAGGCAGGGAATACAGAATGTCGAAATCCTCTGTTTGAAGACCGAGGAGGGAGGTCCCCCTATCTGCACAGCGGGAGAGAACGAGAAGAGTATAAAGGAGATCGGAGAGGACAACCCGGTCTCTTTTTCTACGCTGCAGCTCCCTGGGGACATCACCGGCTTTGTCTCTTCCTTACCTTATGCTTGTTCTTTAACCACGTTACTTAATTAAAGTACCAATTTGAACCTTTTCAGAGACTCCATTAGTCTCATTATTTTAAGTTTCTTTCCTGGGAGCGAGAAGATCACGATTTATCAACACAACCCAGCATTAATAAGGTCCCATTGTTAATCTCTAGCATGGGTTTAGAAGCCTGGTTCATGGACAGCTCTGAGGAGGACCAGAGGAAGCCTCACAAACTGACCCCGGACCAGCCCGTCTCTCTGGAAGAACTACGGCAGCTCGGGGTGTTTCACTGGAAGGTACGTGAACGTTACAGCCTGTCAGCTGCTGCCTTCAGGTTCCAACATAACAGTGAACAGATTAAGTTAAACACGTACAACTATGATTTGACGCCGAGTTGAATCCCTAACAGAATGTCTGTGAACAGTTATTCAGGTTACACAAATATTGTGTTTTTCAGCGACTTCCTAGGGACAAAAAACGATATTGTTGTTGTAGTTATTAAACTATTGAGTTCATTACCATAGACTGTATACGCAGTAAGCTATGAGCGTTTGGGACAAGCATAACAAAATAAAGAGATGTTTTGTTTTGCATTTCGACAGGATGCCTAAATGTCTAGAATAAATATGAGCAACTATTAGTGATTATACATCAAAGTTAAACCATCGCAAGAATAAGTCACACTGTGAGAATTACAATTGAAATGTTAAGAAGAAAGAAGAATAAAAATAAGTCGAAATGAGGAGAATAAAGTTATAATCAGGTTTTAATGCAATTTCGATGAATAAAGTAGAAATGTGGAAAATGTATACTGTTAATTAATTAATGTTATAATAAATGAATCTACTGCAAATCCTACTTAGATTCCCCCAGATTTAGATTCTTTATATATATTATAACCAGTGGCCAAGCAAGATTAGAATCTGTCATGTGGTAAAAAAAACACAGAAATTAGTTGTTCTTTTCAAGTTACTGCAGTTGATTTCATACTGCTAGCCAGCCCCATTCATTATTCTAACCGAATCTATTACCATTACATAAGACTCCCAGACTGCTAGCATGGGATTTGCTGTTGTGATGTGTAACAAATGATCGTAAATGATTTTGGTTACAATTGTTTACTGATCAAAGCTGTTGTCTTTTTCTTGCAGCTGAATGCTGATATCTACGAAACAGACCCAGAGCTGGAGAAGATCCGTAAAGACCAGGGCTATTCCTATATGGACAATAATCTCCATTCACAAGGACACACTTCCTAACTATGAGGAAAAGGTAACAAAGCATTGTAATATCTGTGCATTTTAAACCAGACACTCTTCTCTAATAATGAAACTGTTGAATAGTCAGAAAGGACTCTTCATTTGAACTAGATTGAAGTTAAATGTCTGCACTGCATTAGAAGATTTTATGACCTGTGGAAATTAGTATAATGCTCTACAGCAGTGGCGTTTTCTCCCGGAGGCCAAGGGAAGCCAAGCTTCCCCTGTTTTTTCGGATTGTAGTTATAATTTAAATAAATAAATAAAAACACTTTGTTTTGTTTCGATAATTCTCCTTTGCTGTGTGTTGCTGCCGGCCCGTCTCTCCCCCACTCTCATTGAGTATTTTACAAAGAGTGAAACAATCAGCGCCCCTCTAGATGTTATGGTGAAAACAGTAGATTGCATTCACTGTTGCGAGAGGAGGCCAGTCGGATCGGGCTTCCCTTGGTGAACAAAAATTGAGGGATTGACCAATCAGATGAGGCCCACGTGATGCCCCTGCCAACCTGTGATTGGTCAGGGCCATGCCAAGGGAAGCCAGCTGCTTCTGGCTTCCCTTCAGAGGCGGCTGGCGATTTCACCTGAATAGATGAGATTGTTTATATTTTTTAGTTACTTTTGGACTACGGACTGAGCTAATTACAGAGACGAGGACTGTTGCTGCACTTGCCGTGTGGTTAGAAAGGGAAGGGAAGAGAAGGTGGACTATCGCATGCAAATGTTTCTGTACATAATTGTTTTTGAATTCATGTGTTTTCATACACGCCTACTGATACTTTGATGTGTACATAAAACTTTAAAGGTCTCCTGATTTACTTGTGAATGAATGCTTCTTTTTTATTCAATTACCGAATCTGCACTGCGCATCGAGCGGCTGGTATTTGCATTTGGGGGGGGGGGTGTGTGTCTGCAATAAATTAATAGAAAATGCTTAAAAGCTCCATGTCATGCTTTCCGGTTATTACCCGTCCCCTTGTGTGTATGAAGGTTTTTATGCATGTAAACGGTGTGCAGAGTCAAACCCTCAAAGTACAACCCTGTAGCGAGTAAAACTCTAACACAGAAAATACCTCCCCAAAACGCCTCGTTGGAGATACGTCACTGCCCATTTGATTCTTCCGGGTACCGCATGATGTCATGCGGTACCCGGAACGAAATGGACCAATCCCGAAGAAGCTATGGCCACACCAGCAGCGGCGTGTTCCTCCTCCAGAGGTTCGAAGAACCGGCATTTCACAGACGAAAGCTTCCAAAACATTGCCCAGTTGAGGCCGGATATGCACAGCTTGTTTGGACCGTTTGGAGCAGGGGAAGATCTGGGTATACAACCTGTAAGTTTGCATTGTTATTTGTGTTATTATCAAACAAGACTGTTTAAATGTGTAAACTGTGTTGGACTGCTAAGCCATTGACACAGTGCTAACTGTGCTAACTAAGTTGCTAGAGTTTCCATATATCAACTCTAATATCAGCAGATGGCCTTGCATACATGTATCTCATAGCAGGAGAATGTCTGCATTCACACACAAAATACCTATTGACAGTATACTCCGGGTGATTTGCCGGTCAGTCGCGAAACGTAATTACATTATAGCTGGCGTAGCGATCTAACACACGGAGCTAGAGCTAGTTTTGGTCAGAAAAACATTTTTGTGATGCTACGTTGCTAGCGTTTAAAATATATCAACTACAATGTCAGCAGATGGCCTTACATGTTTTGTCATGGCAGGAGAATGTCTGCAGTCACACACACGGAATACTCATACAGTATACTGTACTGTGATTTACCGTACATTGTGACCGTACATATACTGCATGTAGCTAACGAGGCTAGCTGTATGCTAGCGCAAAACAATGTATTCATGCAAGTTACATTGTATGGTAGCAGAATACCCGTATACGATTGCAATTATAACACGTTATTGCCTAGCCTAATATGAACACTAGCTTTTTGTTCATTAGTAGTTTTATTACACTGCATTATAGTTGCCTTTCCTCCAATCTAAACGTTCATATCGTTTAGCTACCAAGGTAAACAAAGCTAGGTTAGCATATTAGCAGGCAAGCTGTTCATTACACAACTACTACTAACGAATCTAAAACAACTAAGTTTCTCTAATATTTTGGTGATTTGCATTTGATTTCGTCCAGCCAGATCCTGGCGGACAATCCAATGACGGGGAAGGGATTCTACTACTACTGAGGCCTCGTGCTAAAAGGCACCCGCACCGCACCGGCTGTGCGCAGGCAAAGAGGAGGAGGAAATGGATGATATACACCGTGTATATATGTATATTTATGTTCATTTTGTACATTTCTAAAAATAAAGTTTAATGGAAATACTTAGTAGGCCTATCCTTTCTTCCCTGAATTCATATATAGCAAACCATGATTTGATTTCTCATCAAACAGTAGTAGTTTATAACGGGTAAAAATAACTTACTCTTTGTTATGAGAGTAGCTCGTAGGCCACAACGGAAAGACAAGGAGACATACACGAGTTTACAAAACCACGGCACATTTATTGTGGTAAATGCAAAGATAGGTGGTTGAGAGGATCGCAGAGTTAGTCTTCCTGCAGCCGCTTTGGGAGAGAGACTGGGGCCGTAGTGTCCGGAGGGTGTCCGTGATCGTGCTGATTAGCCTCTTCAGCTCCACCCATCGTAAGACAAAGGCCCTGGGGCCGTCACACTCTTCTATAACAACAGTTAAAAATATATATGTATATAAAATATACCGCTGTACCGACGCCATGATAAGACTGATGTTACGCTGAGAGCAGCCGGGAAAAGCACTGTTAGACATGGGCGCAGCCTCTCTGGTGGTTGACTAATCAGAACGAGTGGCCGAGCTGACCAATCGGAGCACACTAGGCTCACAGGGAGTGGGGGGCAAGAGCTCCAACGAGTCGTTTAGTGGAGAAAGTGAATACTGCTGAATACACATGCTTGACAGAGATGCTGTATGCGAAACCAATGTGAGTTTGGAAAATTGCACAGTATAAATCTATTTTAGTATACCTCAACAATGTAATTATGATCAGTGGAAATGGCCATGACATGGGCCCTTTAAATTAATAAAACGAGAGTTTCGGCTGGAGAGTGCGTGCGGACCTGTCGGTTAGATAACAGGCGTGTGCAAGTCCTGCATCTGTGTGATACAAATGTGTGTAAAATGATACCGGGCGCTGTAATCACTCATCTGGTTACGTTATTGTATACCACCCCCCCCCCCCA